AAAAAATTTATTTGACTTATGGTGCACTACTTCAGTGCTATCGTTGCGGATGCAAGAAAAATGTCACTCACTACCGAAGGTGAAGGCTCAACCAGGCTCCTCGCTCTCGTTGTGGATCTGCTTGACACTTTGCTGGAAGATTGGTATGTTTGAATCTTAAACGTTTCCGTTAATCATGAAAGCCATTCAGGTATCCTGCAATAGGTACTCGTTTCGTACACTCATCGGAGGGGGACCTGCTAGTTAACAGATTTGTGCCCTGCTCCAAGTGTGCCTGTGATATAGCAGCCGAGACACAGCAAGTTCGTGATGATGCTGAATTGAATCATAAGAAGAACAGCAAAGGGTTTGTCTGCGTTCACGTAGGGATTCACCGAGCGTTTATGAGAAAACTGTAGGTAATAGCTTTCTTACTTGCAGTGAACACACTGTTCGTGGCTCGAAGACTACAGGAGACATCTCCACCTTGTACGTCATCCATTGCTTTTCTATAGAAGAATGCATGCTGGCAGGTTTGTTTTTATGTGATAGCATATTTCAATCATAATCCATTCACTCCCCTTTCTATTTTCGATTATATCAATTCGTTCCTTTTCTCCTTTTTTTTTCATTTCTGCTCCATATATACAGCATATAAGCCCATATATTTCTGTCTCATTTATTTCAAAAAATTTCAGGTCGGGAAAGCGGTTGGCTGGAATGTCCTTCACATGGAGGTATACATATGAAAGATATCGCACCGGATACTGTAAGTGAATGATCATGAAACGGGCAAAACTCAATTAATACATTCCAGGTTTTCGTAGACATCGAATCTTCTTTGACCATTGCAGCGGATCAATTAAGACGGGGTCGTCTGTTAGGTAGAGGCGCTTTTGGATTTGTGTTCAGAGCTACCGTCAAGTTGCAGGTATGTTTTCTCTTCTCTTATTTGAACACTTCCTTGCTAGAAAAATCTCTTAATTTTTTGTACAATTTTTGACTAGTGGCTTGTCAGTAATAGTCGAGAAGGTTTCTTGGAGTGAAAGTTTGTATCTTATCGCAACGAAAGATTTTACCGTAAGTGCGTGAGAATTGTTTGTAAAAGATCAACATGATTTTATAGGTTTCCTTGTAGGCATCATTTGGGTTTTCAGGCGTGGAAAGTGTTCTTCTCCGAAATGCGTTATCAAAAGGTCATTTACTCAATATGATTGAAGCGGTTAGGGTAAGAAAGGGGAAAGTAAGAAAGGTTGCATGAGGAGAGACAGATCCTTTTTGTTTGTGTATGGATAGGCAGGAGTCGCTTACCTCACTTGGTTTGAAGGGGTGTCCACATGTCTGTAGGTCTTTTTCGTTTTTGTCCTCTTCATTTCTGTCCTGCTTCTGTTTCTGTGGAAAAATAGGGAAGTGGGACCATAACTACCGGATTATTTCCATGCTCGCCTATATTTTGCAAAATATCGCTTTTTCTTAAAAATGAAAGGCAAGGAAAATGAGTCTGCTAAATCAATTTTGAAATGGCTTTTGAGTTACCCTTTTCATCTCAATGGGACTGTACCTTTTTGGTTTCGAAGGGTATTATAAGAATGGAAACGGAATCTGTACCTTCTGTTCCGTGTTCTGTTCATGTTTAATGCCAAATATTTTGACATTTTTGGACAAACTGTCAGCAAAGCATATAGCTCAACGAACATTTTAGAGCGGGGAACTATGTGAGGTTGCTCAGAAGATGCTTGAGCCGGTGAATCCAGGACCAGGTTCTAGGCCTTCCGCGGTGGCAGCATACAAGGTGGGATTTTCTGTTTCAATCACTTGATTGTTGCTGTATGTATACTCTCAATCTAGGCTGCTGCTGATAAATGGCGTCGCGACTCTTTGGAGTTTGCATCGCGAGCTTACTGCACCTCCAGACAGGAGCTGAATCTTCTCAGTCGACTGAGGCATTCAAACATAGTCTCCCTCATAGGGGTTTGTAAACGACTGCAGTCGTTGTCTTGGATCTAGTGTTAGTTTTCTTTTTTAGGTTTGCGTGTCTCCCCTCTCACTGATTTTTGAACTAGCTCCTCTTGGAGCTCTTAATCAGCTTTTGGCTAGTCATAGAAGAAGTGGCGCTCGTCTAGGCCTGTCAGTCCTCCGCGATTCTGTCACTCAGGTATGTTCTGCTGATTCTTTCCTGAGAAATCAAAGACCAAACTTCCAGGTAGCGAAGGCACTTGAGTATTTGCACTCGGCACACATCATCTACCGGGATCTGAAGAGCGAAAACGTCCTGGCTTGGCGATTTCCACCTCCGTTCGGTACCCAAACGGATGTGTTACTCAAATTGGGAGATTATGGTAGTTTTCTTGCTAGCATTTACGCTCATAGACGAAGATTCTTGTTGTAAAGGTATATCACGGACTGTAATGCCATCCGGTGGTGCCAAGGGATTCGGAGGCACAGAAGGTTTCATGGCTCCGGAAATACTACGGTTCAATGGCGAAGAAGAATACACACAAAAGGTTTGATTCGGTTTTCACTACCTTCAACAGTTTGTTACCGTAATTTTTTACTATTTTTTCTCATCTATGCTTTGTTTAGAAGATTACACATTTCTGTGCAAGGCTTACGTTTCTTGTCTAACGAGAATTCTCATTACAGGTCGATTGCTTCTCCTTTGGCATGTTCCTGTACGAGTTGATCACTTTGAAACATCCGTTCGAAGGTGAAGAACATGTCAAAGAAAGACTGTTAGAAGGAGCGCGACCGGTGTTTCTTCCTCATGTAAGCGTTTGCTTTTCACTATTTTCTTTTCCAATAACTCCCAATTTAGGAGTTGCTGGTGCCGTCACCAATGTTGGATTTGGCAGTTCACTGCTGGGCAGCTCTACCAGACAGTCGACCATCATCGTCCCAGCTTGTTGGATACTGTTCAGCTCCTGAGTTTACCCACATACTCGATGTTTGCGAATTGGAGGGTGAGTTCATCGAAGTGTGAAAACCGTTTATGCACTCGAAGTTGTCGTCACGCATAATATGGATAACAGTAGACAAGTGATACAGGAGCTTGTTAGTAACA